GCTCTCTCTCTCTCTCTCTCTCTCTCTCTCTCTCTCTCTCTCTCTCTCTCTAAAACACAAACATACACATGCACAAAGAAGAAAAGCAAATTCTTTTCTCTTCTGATCCACGGGTCAGATAACGGACACTGGTGAGGAAGGGCAGATGGTAGACAGACAGAGGGCCTCAGCCGCACCACTGACCAAATGCGCAAAATGAGAATGAATCTTCTGCTAGAACATGGAAAGATGCACCGGCATAATTTCTGTCATTTGTGCAGTTGGTGAGTGGTGCGGCGAGGCCCAGAGAGATAGACAGACAGGCAGACTTGGACATATATAATAGACTGATTAGCAAAATCTGTGTCCGTGTCCTTCATCACATTAAGTTCGCTGAAAGTGGAACCGTATACAGAAGATTTGCATGCGCTCCCTGCTCATATCTTTCCTTTTATTAAAAAAAAAAAAAAAAAAAAAAAAAAAAACGTAATCGGCAGGAAATACCTCCGAGACTTCTCCTGTGTTTGGCCGACTTCGTCGAAACTTCTCCTATAGCATCTTGTCCGCAAAGAAGAACGAGGATTATCACATACGCTAGGATCCTTATTCGCATCTTCATCCCACCACGCTCAATGACATGCTGTGTGCACCTCCATACAATGTCCTCCTCCTCCCGCCAGAGCCGGCGTCTGCTTTGAGCTTCCATAACCGGCGTCATCTTCACCCTTTGCTCGTTTTTCCACTCACTTCATGCACGTTTTTGATGCAACAACCACCTCCTCCTCCTCCTCCTCCTCCTCCTCCTCCTTCCCCACCCCTCTCTTGGGTTCCTCCCTTCCCCCCCCCACCCCTTCCTGTGATGCCGCTTTCCTCGTCTTCCTCCCAAACTGGAAGTGTCCCAACGCTCGTTCGCAAAACTGGGCTTCGACAAAAATTACCCAAATTTTGTGGATTTCCCTCCTCCTCCTCCTCCTCCTCCTCCTTCCCCACCCCTCTCTTGGGTTCCTCCCTTTCCCCCACCCCTTCGTGTGATGCCGCTTTCCTCCTCTTCCTCCCAAACTGGAAGCGTCCCAACGCTTGTTCGCAAAACTGGGCTTAGACAAAAAATCACTCAAATTTTCTGGATCTCCGAAATTTCCGAAATTTCCGGATGTTTTGAAATTTCTCGAAAATTTTCCCAAACTGAGATCTCAGGCCAACAACTCACACAACGCAGTTGGGAACTCCAGGACTTTGAACAGCATCAGCTTGAAGGGCTCAGGACCTCAGGGCATCGTACTCACACTCGAACTGTTTTTTTTTTCGACCGGGCTTTTTTGGACGTGATGACCGCCTGATGCATCCCCGTGCTGGCCGTATTTGCAGCCAGATGCATTCAAGAATTTCAAAACTCTAGTCTGAGCAGCATCGCCCCAATCAAACGACTACAGAATACAGCAGCGCATCAGAGACCCGCCGCAGCAGCGCAGCGGCATTTTCCCACCAAACTCCCTCCCTCCCTCCCTCCCTCCCTCCTTGGGTGCAGCTAAAACCCTTCTACCTCCTCATGTCCAGTCAGTCTGTAGTCGCCGCCTCCTGCGCTGATTCGAGAAAATCCCGATACACCCAGCTGATGTGGCTGAATGGTACACACTAGTAACTGTTAATAAACAGATCATGAGCTCGAGACGTGAAACAACAACGCAAGAGCTACCCCCTCAAACACACAGATAGATTCTCGATATTCTCGATACTACCGATAGACTGCGGTAGACTGCGGTAGTAGTAGCGAAAACCAGTCTAATATCTGGCAAACTGGGAAAACGCAAAAGAAGGGCGCGCAACGCAATACACGTGATTGCTGTCGAGGTATGCGGAGTGCTCGCGCGCTCGCACGCGCTGCGCGCCGTGACCCGTCGTCCTTTCTTCTCCCTTTCCTCCCCCACGTCCCTTTCGCTCCTCAGACTAACAATTCTTTTTTTACTTTTTTTTTTTTTTTTTTTTTTATCTGGCGGGAGGGAGGACTACAGCCGGAGGGAGGAGGGAGGTCCATGCTAGGAGGGAGGAGGGTGTTTTTTTTTTTTTTTTTTTTTTTTTTTTTTTTTTTGAATTTTTTTTTTTTTTTTTTTTTTTTGGGGGGGGGGGGGAGGGAAGCCCTCGAACGCTTCCTTTGTGTTGTGTCACAGTCAATCAATTTTAATCAATTAATTAATACTGCCCATTACTAGCAAAACACAGAGAGAGGGAAAAAAAAGGAAAAAAAAACAGAGAGAGAGAGAGAGAGAGAGAGAGAGAGAGAGAGAGAGAGAGAGAGGATAGAAAAGGAGGAAAGGAAGAGCCACAGGGTAGAATCAGTGTTCCCTCTTCAGTCGGTAAATGTCTTGCTCTCAGTATCTCTCCCCCCCTCCTCCCTTTTTACTCGTTCCCTCTCCTCATCGGCATCTACTCTGTTCCCGCCACTTGGTTTGCGTGCAGCTCTTGCGCTCATGCCCCTGCTGCTTGCCCGAGGTTTTATGAATAACCCCGGTAGGGTTGGGTTGGAACTCAGCAACAGCCAGCCGTCGATCTCCTTAGGGGCTGGTTCGACAGACACTCCTTGGGGCGTCCTGGGGGCCGAAGGAAGTTTCCTTGGGGGTTTTCAAGGAAATTCCTGCCATCGTTCCACCTGTCCTCGGGGACGTCGCCCCAGGACATTTCCTTCGAACGATGTCAGACAAGAAAAAGGAAAACAAAAAAAAAATCAAATGTGTTTGAGGCCTTCAGCCAATAGGGTGCCGCCACCATCCAGATTCTCTATTGTAACGTCTCTCTACCCAGTGCCCGCTCCTCTCCGTGAAATGCGGATTCCTTTTGCCCAAGGGAACAAAAGGAAGAAATGGCTGGGCAATCCTCCTTCGGAGTGTTTTCACTTTTTTTTTTGCTGACATATAGGTGGAACGAACAATTCCTCGCGGACGAGGAGTGTCGAAGGAGCCCCTTAGGGTCTCGCTCCACTACTGTCCACTGTACAAATTTCTGGACAGTTCACGGACATCAGTCAGAGAGTTAAAAATCTGGAGAACGCGGCATCGCTGCACTTACTGTCTACTGTCCACCTCTCAAATTCGTGAGTTCACTACGGACGCAGTGATAGAACTACGGCGTCCAAAGGATTTTGTCCGCCCGGACTCTACGTGCACTCTCCAAATTCGGGTCCTCACGGTGAGGGGCTCGCCACACCAGCTGTCGAAAATGGGATTTCGACAGTTCCTCTTCGCCACACAGCCGTCGAAATCCGAAACGGGCAAACGATTCTCAAGTTGTCAGGGAAGGTGCTTCGACACCTCCTTTCGAAGGAGGTAGCGTGTCCAGCCTGCAACATAGGCATTTTCGACAGTCCACCGCCGACCTATTCTCCTCGAAGATTGTTGAGCGGGACTGTGGTCGGGCTGGAGAAATGCTTCTCCTATACTCATGCGGGTTTGTCTCTTCTGCACTTGAATTCACGAGCCCTTCACTTCGACAATGCTGTGTGGCCGAGGGGGGGGTTTCTGTAGAAACTCTTCCTTTCGAGTTTTCAACGACAACTTTCGAAAAAATGCACTTTCGACAGCTGGTGTGGCGAGCCCCTGAGTCCCTTGAAGGACTTTCCACTGAACGAATTTTGCAGGCTGGGAGCTGTACATTCACGGACAGTAGATTTTCGACGGGGTTTCTAAAAACTGTCCAAGCCATTTTGCACATGTACAGTGGACAGTAAGTGGAGCGAAGTACCACTGTCCGTTTTTGTACAGTGGACAGTAGTGGAGCGAGACCCTCGCACAGGGCCTTGCGGCACCACTCAACAGATGTGAAAAGGACAAGGGAGATGGAGAGCATATGGGTCTCGCTCCACTACTGTCCACTGTACAAAAACGGACAGTCGTACTTGGCTCCACTTACTGTCCACTGTACATGTGCAAAATGGCTTGGACAGTTTTTAGAAACCCCGTCGAAAATCTACTGTCCCTGAGTGTACAGCTCCCAGCCTGCAAAATTCGTTCAGTGGAAAGTCCTTCAAGGGACTCACTGGGAGGACCCGAATTTGGAGAGTGCACCTAGAGTCCGGGCGGACAAAATCCTTTGGACGCCCTGTCTTGTAGTTCTATCACTGCGTCCGTAGTGAACTCACGAATTTGAGAGGTGGACAGCGGACAGTAAGTGCAGCGATGCTGCGTTTTCCAGATTTTGAACTCTCTGACTGCTGTCCGTGAACTGTCCAGAAATTTGTACAGCGGACAGTAGTGGAGTGAGACCCTATGTTTCCACATTCTGGCAGAAGATACACGCTCCATTCTGCACATTTAGTGAGTGGTACGACGAGTTTCGAAGGCCATGTGGCACCTCTCAAGCCCTGATGTGCTGATTGCATGGCATTCCTTTTTTCTTTTTTTTTCTTTTGGAGCTCGCTTCACGAGTAGCCAAATGCGAGAAGATTTTCAAAGTCAAAAAAAAAAAAAGGAGGAGAAGATTTCAAAGTCAGAAAAAGAAAAGAAGTCCCTTCCTATCTCCAACTGCAGTGTTTACTAGTCTACAGTAGGCCGCCGAACACAGCTCAACCTCATTGTGAACGTATCGGACTGGGAACGTACCTTGTATACGTTGATTATAATGTTTGCGGTGTGTTCGGGGAAGGATGGCAGGCTGCACTTTCTTTTTCTTTTCTTGTCTATGAACAAGCTGCGCTTATATGGGACGCTGGACCCGTTTTCAGCACGTGCTGCTCCCCACGAATAGATTGGAGCATTGAAAAAAAAAAAAAAAAAAAAAAAAAAAAGAGCTAGGCCAGACTGGCCAGTTGGTAACAGGCTGCAGTTTCAGTGCTCTTCTCCTCCTCTACTGGTCCCAGTAGAGTCGCCCCGACTTTTCCTCCCAGCCTTCAGTCATGTAACCGGGGGCCTTGTCCCACCAGCGGGGGTTTCGTTTATGTTTCGTGTATTAGAGTCAGATCCCACCTCTATTCTTTTTGGAAAGACACGACAAAGAACGGTTTTGTAGGGCCCGTTCCGGCCGGACCGTAAAAGAGAAATGGGATCCCACCAGTCCACGATATTCGGTTCTTTTCCAGGATTTGCGCCGGAAGTGTATGGGCGTGACAAGAGACCTACTTCCCGAAGTCGGTCCACCCGGACAATTGGTCGGGTGTTGTGGCCAGGCGGACGATCCAAGTGCCTCTTGCGGACATGTACAAAAAAAAAAGAAGAAAAGGAAAACCCCGCCTTCTTTTTCGGGGAAAAGACGGGGTCGTCTTCCTTTGCGTTTTCAAAAGAACTGTCTGGCCTGCAAACGCGGCCAGCTCGGCACGTCCACTTTCGTTTCCACATCCGCGAGAAAAGAGGGCCCTCTCCGCCTCACGCCGAAAGAGGTGGGATCCCAAAAAAGGCCGTTTCTCGCCAAAAAGAATAGAGGTGGGATCTGACTCTTATTCAACGTGGTCACACTGTGGCCGTAAGATTTTCAGATCGGATAGCAGGGAACCCCATGTATACTTGAAAGCAAAACTAAGAGGCTGAAAAGGTACTTTCACTGAAAAATAGAGATCCCACACGTTTCCGCGGCGGGCGGGCCTTCAAAATAATTGGGCTGTTTCTTCTCAGGGCCTCCTTCGTGGCAGCACGGGAGAGAGTAGTGGCGGTTTTCGTGAATGAATCTCCAAAAGCGCCCGACCCCTTCCCCCTCCCCCTGAAAGTCGGCGGCTGTGCAGAATTGGATTTTTTTGGTCGTTGGCCGTTAGATGTCCTCACATGACGTTGGCACCGACTGCAACTCGGCAGCATTCGTGGAGAAGTTCACCGACTGCAACTCGGCAGCATTCGTGGAGAAGTTCTTTACCCGTCGGGTCGATGGGATCCAAATTTGTTTGTACGAACCGCTTGGCGCGTACACGGCTTTCAGGGTACTT